ATTTTGCGACATGATATTAATAAATAGAGAAATGTTTTTTATCAAAGATGGGATTTGGTCAAAACTAAACAAATGGCCAAATGGCCACATAATGGCGTATTATCTAAACAAATTGATATATATATATATATATATATATATATATATATATATATATATATATATATATATATATATATATATATATATATATATATATATATATATATATATATATATATATATATATTTTTTTTTTATAAAAGTAATATGAAATAATTTGAATGAATTCCATTTCGTATTTCATAAATCTACTTGTGCTCTAACAATCTTGAAAATGTACTTATAAACAATGCCGTTATGGAGCTTTGATGCAATGCTTTTATTTGTCACTAATATATTGCTGTTATTTATCAAACAGATGTTTATTTTAAAGTTCACATTAAAGTGACATTATGCCCATCCAAGGGTATATAGTGAGTGAACAGATGAATATCAAAATAAGTTTTCATTTTGTCATAAAACCTTTTGATTTAATAATTTACTTCCCATAAACAATAAAAAATGCACAGATCCAAATAAATTGTCTGTAAATATCTGTTTGAATTTACCTCTAACGCTCAGTTTTAAAAAAGAGTGGGGCAGACTTTTTATATTTTAGGCAGATTTATAATTTTATCCTGAACGTTTTCCAATATTAACTGTTGGTCAAACTCCATTTTTAACAATTTTTACTGTCAGTCTCAATGTCTGACAATAATTATTGGGCTTGTCTTGTCTGTTTTTAATAAGAAAATTGATGTATCATGATTTATTCAATATTACTTAATACCATTTTCCTCCCTTCGAAATAATTTAAATCTGAAGTTCTGTATCAAGTGCTGATATTCAAATGATTCATATGAAGTATATGTAAATTTTGCCGAACTATCTGTATTTTACTTTATGTGCAGTATCCGTTTTCATATTCTATAAATATAAGTACATGTATTGAAATCAATATTCCAGAATGGCTTTGTGGGCTTTATGTATGACAACACATCAAGTCGAATAAAGAAGAATACAAAGTGAATTAGCGCGAAAACAATATAAATGCAAATCGAACACATGCTAAGACAATGTAATAAAAAAGTAAATGCAAGTATCATGGCAAGGTCAACTTTTCTTTGAGAAATTAATGTAAATACATATTTCACTCAAATATATCAAATATATCTGATCTATGACTCGTATATTTCGCAATCTGATAATCAATTGAGAACAGCGGTCGCATTCTTTGATATATTAGATTGGTTAAAATTGTGTATCTATGTGCTACATTTTATCATTCTGATTGTTTGCATCATTTTTTTTTCAATGTTTGAAAAAGCATTCTATTATCCATTTTCGAGGATGATATACATAAAAGTTTGCTGTGACTCAGTTCGCTGTGACTCTATGTATAAAATAGCTCGTAAGTTATAAAGTTAAGAAGTTAATCGTTGGAAATGGTATACCAGTTAATACTTCAAAAACGGTTCACAATTACAAGAGTTAACTTTGCTGAACAAAGCAAAACAGATAATTGTTCTCTATTTTTTTCTTTTAAATTGTAAGTGATACTTTGCAGTGTATGAGATAAAATTTAAAACAAAAATGCCATGGTATCGTTTTTCCTCTATTATATACATATGCTCTGTAAATGACAGTTGCTGGAGAATTATTTAAAATATAAGAGCAGATACATCAAATATTTCAAAGAATTGTGTCTGCAGTTTTTCTTCCTATTCCGACGGTTATCCTGAGAAACATAAAAAAAGTTACATAGACCATATAAATATTTAAAATTGCCATATTTTAAGTAACAGTGATCAGTTTTTTTAATTTAGGTATCAATTCAAAATTGACCTCCCATATATACAAACGACGCGAATGTATGACTCGCACTGTCTGCTCTTCAAGTTTAAACAAATAGACCGACTGAAATAGTGAGAGAGAAAAAAATAACTGAAGTGTTTACCATCCATCCTCTGACTATTGTTAACTTAACCTATAGCTCTTCAGCGCTTCTTATGTAAAATTCTTCCAAGTATAATTTCCAATAACCGTAAATTATACCATACCCAGACTATGGTATAATTTTCAATTTTGAAGATCGAAGGAGTAAGTGTTTCTGGGCGGAGCTATAGGTTAAAACAGATACACCATTGGTGCGTTGACGATTTCTGGGTTTGCGTAAATTATACCATAATCACGTGACCTTTCTTATGCAACCTCACTCGACTTCGTCTCGTGAGGTTAAGGCATAAGAAAGGTCACGTGATTATGGTATAATTTACGCAAACCCAGAAATCGTCAACGCAGCAATGGTATATCTATTACATAGTGTGCATTGTTTAAGACAGGGTGCATCATGTGAATCGGTCTATTTACATCGATATTTCTTTTTATGAATACAAAAGATTCGCTATTTTTGTCATTTGTTTTCACGGCAAAACCAAAGAAAAACTTTTGACTATCTATAAGAAAATAAGGAATCAATTATGAGATGCATTATCTAATTAAGGCTTGCGATTACAAATATGAGTTTGAGATTTTGATAAGGTAGAATAATAATACAGTTTTCGGCAGACATGTAGTAGTTCACAATAAAATAAAACAAAAATAAATTCAACATAAAAAGACAACAAAACAAAATAAATGACTCATTATCCTTACCATTCCCACAACAAAATCACTAGGTCTTTAAACCTTTCATTTTCAAGTAAATAAGATGAATAATTTCTTTTTGACAAATGTTGAAAATTTGAAAAAAATATTTTATAAGGTTATTTGAGTCTACTTCAATGTCAGTGGCAATCACCTTATCACTTGAGATGGGCAGTTTAATATTTATATATTTACATGTAAAATATTCATACAGTGTTGCCCTCACATGTTCACGTGACTGTATATTATTATTTATTATTATACAAATGTATTTGTCTCATGTTTTTGTATTGTAATGCAAACTGGGATATATATTCAATAAAACTTGAAACTTGAAACCTTATCACTTGAGATGGGCAGTTTAATATTTATTTCTGTTTTTTTTTTTTTTTTTTTTTTTTTTTTTCTTGTTAAAGTAAATTATTAAATAATGAATGAACAAATTTTCTGATACATACAGATGAAATTTTGGTGTAAGAAAGGTCTTAGACTATAACTTTATGGTCCAATAACAAGTATGTTTACGAAATAAAACTTCAAACTTTTAAGAATAAAAAGTATGAAATCAAAACGCATGAAAAAAGTGCTCTTATTTATCTTTGAATAAAGTATACTTACATGCTGTATACCTATTTCTCCACTCGGGTTTACTTATTTTAAGCATTTAGTATCGTATATTGATATTTAAACTTATTAAAGCAATAAAGCTAAGGCGTTTTCCTTACGAAGGGAAACAAATGAGCTAAATTCAATATGGAAACACTTACACAGTTGTCTCGTTAAAATGGCGGTTACTTTCACTATTTTATTTATGGTGGCTGAATTGTGTCATACCGTATTGTCGCTGCGAGGGGCGCCGAAAAAAACGAATTTTCGACAAAGTCATCATTTTGACGTATTTTCTCTCCGCAGAAGCAAGACGAAAAAAAGTAGTGACTGTCTATTGCATAAATCAGCCGTGTTCATGTTATATTTTGTATAATCAACATGCTCATTTGTTTTTTATTATATATACCATAACAGTATATAAATTCCTGTCCTAAAGTAAATAAGTAATGATTTAAATATCCTTATATTCCCTTTTTTGAATCAGTGTGGATATTTTACAGGTAAAGTAAGACATTTTAAAACTATGAATGCATCTAGAACGCTATATTGTTCAATATTGAGAAAATTGATATTATCGGATAGATATACATGTTAGCTTTACATTGACACCATATTCATTCAATTTCGTTCACTATTTTAGCTGTGGACATACAAAAATGTTTTTTCGTTAATATAATAAGTAAAACAGGGGTAAATTTCTGAAGATGGATGCGTCCAATGTCCGTCGGCCTACAAAAGCAACATCTGTCAAGAAGTTTGCTAAAGTGAAAGAAATAATTGAAACCGATGCAAGCTTTATCACTAATTAAGCAAATATCTAATATCCTTGGCATATTATAAGGAGCAGTTCATACCATTCTCAAACGTAATATGAAAATGAAAAATATCTGTGCTAGAGGAATTCCACCATTTGCTGACAGATGAGCTGAAAGGGGTCTCGCGTGCAATGCGCTAAGTTAATCCAAATTACAATGCATTGTCTTTTGCAAATGTCATCACTTGTGACAAAACATGGGTTTATTTTTATGAACTACAAAGTCAGGCAAAAGACCAATGGCATGCTTTGCAAAAAGGGCCATCAACGAAAGAATGTTAAGTATGCTATTTATCTTAACAACTCAGGTTCCCGCTTTTCAAGTTCAATTTTACATTCAGGAGAAATTGTACAAGGCAAAAGTTAAAGATCAATCGAAAACGAAGACCCATCGTAGTTATGGCCAATGTGAGATCGTTGCATGACAGCGCGTTATCGCACAAGGCGTCATGAGTGCAAGACTTTCTGAGGCAGAAAAAAATCGTTGTGCTACCCATCCTCCTATTTACCTGATATCGCCCTTTATGACTTTTTATTTTGTTTTCAAATATAAGAAACATATCTTTCAGGTCAAATATTAGTTCAACGCAAACACATCGGTTCTTAAATATTCCTGTGTCTTCAGTGTATACCTATTAAAATACTTTGGAAATGTCTTCGAAGATAAGATTAGATATTGAATATCCATTGGAGGTGCATAATTCGAGGGTACAAGATAAAATATTCAGTAAAACCCAAGAATTAAATTCTACATGCTTATTTGCATGCATATTTGAACACTCCTCGTAATTCTTGATGATTACATACCTATTTTAGGCACAGAAGAGTTACCTGTCACAGACCATGATATCAATAAAAAATGCAAAAGAACTTTAAGTTGTATAAGATTTTATTAAATATATATACACAATATCTACAACAATCAATGAATGCAAAGAAATATATTCCCCTTAATAACTAAAGGAATGAATTAATGAAATGTAAATATAAACAACGGGAAATTGTAGGAAAGCAAATGTATAATAAAATACAAATTTAGTACACATGTACTTAGGCCTTAACATAAAGAGTATTACACATAGTTTGGCAAATCCATTACAATATTCACAAACTAATTCCAAATGATATATATCAAATACCAACATTTAAACGGTTCCTCTTTCTACAAATAAGTGGTTGATTTTCACCATACAGTATCTGCGGGTTGTTTTCATACATATTGCGTAGTATAACCATAATTTGTGTACCATACACTCACAAAAGATCATTTCTCATTAAAATCAAATTTATTTAATCACTTTTAATGAAAACTGTATATAAATCAAGTCATGCGGATAGTTCATTTAGACTGTTTCTCAATAACGCCCTCTTCGGTGACAATATTGAATATCCTAGCATACACTTTATCCACCAAAGTAACTGCATCATCAGAACAATAGGTTAGTAAAGAATCTTTACATTCGATCTTGAGTTTTTTTCTTTTTGTATTTATTTGAATTTTCATTGTCTTCTGTTGTACTCAATAACTTGTATTTCAGTGCTAAATTTCACGGCTGTTTTTGACGGTAACGAGATTTTTCTCCCATTCACATTTTCATGAGACCCAGACCTTGGATACCGCTCGCTTAATTGTCGTCTGCAACGTATCATCGGACTATTTGGTGCGCTCCTTGGTATTTCATCCTCATTTCTCAAGTAAATAGGTTTTATGTCCAGAAATGAGCCTGTAACAGAACGCCCATCTTGCTTTGTAATTTCTGGTACATTTTTTGTAGCTGATACTGTTAGTGACGTCATGTTTGCATTGATACCTCTAACGCTAATCTTTGTGTTTAAAGACAAAGCCCGGTGGCGGAGAGCTGGTGAGCCAATAGGAGACTCATCCGAGTCTGACGAAAATGATGACGTCAGAGGTGGCCTTAATGGCGTTCTTGGTTTAACCTGCTCAAAGCTCTTTGACTTTAAGAACTCGTTTCTTTTGGCCGACGAAGATTTTGACCATGTAAAGTTCGTCTCGTTTGGTGGCGTTTGGCTAAATAAAACCGATGGATATTTTGGAGTTTGAGATGACATTATTTTTTGCTTAAGCGAAGGTGAGATAGGAAAGGCGGAAGCTGTCGAGGACAAATGCTTTGGTGATAACACTGGTGATTTTGAATAGTCCGGTGATACAGGATTAGATATGTCTGATTTGTTTGATTCTGTCGATATTTTCCTACTTTCGTTGATATCGCTTGAAGAATTTGTTGAATTCTGTCGGGTACTGTGTCTAAGGGTAGCATAAAAGTCGTCATCCTGGTAAAAAAGATTGTGTTTTTCATCGTTGAGAAGCCATAGTTTGTCCAAGGAAATGTCATAACCTGCAATATAAAGACGAAACTGTAAAATATACTGTATTTAACGTGGCCTGAGATATAAAAAAAGTTAACATTATCATAATCTTTATTTAATTATCGTGTTATACAAAACTAGAAATAAGAAGGATGTAACACAAACGTAACAAAAAATCAAAACATTAATTTATTCTATTGATTTAACTATAAATTACATTACAAACATGGTTTTAGAGACGTGCAAAAGGCATAAAACATGTTTTTCATTCTCCCTTTAAATGAATAATAAAAACGGAAACATAAAACTGATTTATGAAGACGAGAGACTCAACTCTTGTCATTTATTGTCAGTTATATTTCAACACGCATGAATTTCATTTTGCAATTGAAGTTTTTTGCATCCAGTCGGCAAACTTGAAAGAAAATTAGAGACGAGAGTTTCACATGTGTAGATATGTAGAGGAGAAAAGTCTGTTCATGCAATGTTTTGGTAATCGAGGATATATGGATTTTATACTTTTCACACACACGAACCCAAATTGTTTTGTATAATTAGGATGGAGTACATGTATAGAGATATTGTAATGGATAGATATTGTCATTATGAATTCTGAAGTAGATAAGTCACTTGAGGCAAAATTTTAATGTTGTACACACGACTGACTCGAGTATTTTCCTTGGTGGTACTAGTATATACATGTATATACAGCCAATGCTTCCTAGAACCGACATAAGACGAATATATTTCTTTCAAAAGTGAGGCATTGATTTGACGACCAACGAACGGCATTCTTGAATCTTTAATGTCTAAGTGTCTTGTAGGACGCCATTGATTTTTTCATTTCTATTTATTTATTCTTTATTTATTTATTTTTTCTTGTATTTTTCGATTTAAGATAAAATGTCTAAAAAGTGTACCTGATGAAATCAGTTTCTTTGCAAGGTCCAGAGTTTTGTTGCAGGGACTGTGGATTGCAACGTAGAGCGCACTCTGTCCTAGAGTGTCAATAACAGTGACGTCACATCCGTGCTTTAACAATAAATCAACTGTCACGTGACTTCCTTCTCGCAAAGCGATGTGTAGAGCTGTTTGACCGGTTTTGTCTCTTACATTTGGATCGGCATCCCCTAAAAGAACAAAATACGACATTAATTTTTATTTTATTCATTTATTTTTTTTTTCAATTGTTTTTTATGTTTGCTAGACTGCATAGTCACACGTTTTTGTATCAATATATGACGTGTTTTTTTTAAATACAAAATTAGAACAATATAAAAACACTAGAACAATCTTACTTTTTGAACTTAGTATGATGAAATTGGTTATAATTTTTTAATCAGAATCTACTATATAATTACTATCGAATAATATTTTCTTAAAGACAAGAATGATAAGAAGTCGTATTCTTTGGCGTGATATTATTGTGCTAGCCAATGAAAATTATAGCTTCTACTTCAAGTCTGTGTTTTTATTTTGTTCAGGTCTGTTGAAATCATTGATTCCATCACTTATTTTTGTTAAATACTAAATACAACGTAAGGCGGTGCTAAGGGGCGTGGTTTTTGACATTAGTTGTTTGAAAGGGGGGCTAAACGGTGATACTGTTATAATTAAAGCACAATCATAACTTTGTATATCACAAAAATAGGACATTTTCGCTTACTCTGAATACTATAAAGTCACCGTAGCATAGTTTTACATGATTTTATTATTCTTGCATGACAGTTAAAACCAAATTCAAAATAACTTTTCAGCTACTATACTAAGATATCTGTATACACGTACGTTTCTGTGTATACATCACGCACTCACTGTCCTACCTTTGATTTAAGCTGGTATATTGTCACTGACATAAATGTATCATAAAGTAGTTTATCATACGGACTGACGTAAAAATATGCGTCCCGGACCTTGACAATCGTGAAGTAAATACTTTGTTTTTCTTTATGTTCCTTACATAGAATAAACTGATGAATTTCAATGTCTACGTCATATTTAAGGGAAAAAATAATGTGTCATGTTTAGTTATGATGATGAATCTTTAACACGTACATGTTTAACACTAATTATGTCAGATAAGGTTAAGATCAAAGTGAACAAGATGTTGTTTTTAATCGGTAAAAGGGTATTCAGAACAGCGTTTTGTTTGTGCTTTTAACATGAAAACGTCACATTGTAAAATACAGGAAACAACAAACTCGATTTTCGTAAATTATGTGTATCACTGTTGTATAAAAACATTTTAAATCAAAGTACAAAATTGTCACATAGATGAAAACAAAGTTTATTTGATGCTTTTCTTTTATTCTCTGAACAAAACGAATGAATATCGAATGTCAAGGTACAAACAATCATTTGTGTCACATATTAGATAATTAGATAATTGCACTACATTGAGTCGTTATTATGTTTTCAGCATAGACCTTATTCTTTCCATTTGAAGAAAGAATATAACCGTTAAGTTAGCATTATATAAAAACGATTAGAACTGATTCAGATCCATGGAATTTGATTAGATTTTGTAATGGAAAAGACAAGATTTGATCCCTGCCATGGACTTTGAACTCTTTCAAGAAAGGAAGGTATGCCGCTAAATAACGGCACGTTGGCGGTTCTACTCAGGTCCTCATTGTGCCTTAAGAAGTGCACGGAGGTGAGCCTGAGGTCTTCCTCAATCAGTAAAGCTAGAAAGTCGCCATATGACATCTTCGTATGGTGCACTTAACCCCAAAACCCAAAAAAAAATAGAAAAAAAACTACCATTGAAACATTATTCTGACCATTTCCTAATACCCTAGAATGCCTTTTATCAATGCTGTTTCCCATTGGGGTTCTTTGCTCTACAATAAAATCTACCCGAAAACAAAGCATAACCTCTACTATTAAACCAAAGTAAAAAATAGCTTTTGACTATATGAAAAAAAAGACATGTTCGTTACTTCAGTTACTGTATTTTTGGTTATAAAGGTTGTTGATAGGTTATATTTTTAAAGAGCCATATATCCTTTTAGAAATATTTATAACAAATTTAAAAGACAGCAAACATTCTTTTATTGCGATTTCTTTCTGTCCTAGTCTGTAGTCACAGGCAATGATAATAATTTAACCTAACAATTAGTAGCAACCGACATTACATGCAAACGCAGCATATTAAATAATAATTAAAAAAACATTATGCATAAGAAATGCTGTTTTATTTCTCAAAAGCTTTTCATTTTGTTGTTTTTATGGTTTCAAAAAAAGTTGCTCATTTGCCATTTATCTGAACGGTTGTTTTTTGCCAATTAGTACACTTATAGAGAGTGTATGTTTTGTATGGAAGTCAAAATACTACTTTGAATACTTTTTGCTATTTAATGACAAATATATTACATAATAAGAGATACTTTCCTCAGATACAAAGCATCACAAATACCCTTAAACGAATGTTTAGACGGCAAAATACTCATGTTTCCCTTATATATAAAGATTAAATCTGAGGCGCTGTGTGCCTTCAATCAATATTATAAACTCTGTTTTAAGCGAACCCCGTGATATTTCTCATGGGTCTTAAATATTGACTCTACCAAACTCCTACTTACCACTTTCAATCAGCTTTCTGACAACTTCCGTGTTCCCTTCATCAACTGCAAGGTGCAGGGAAGTGTTTCCGTTATCATCGGTTACATTTACGTCACACTTTGACGACAACAATAAGTTCAATATTTCTATTCGGCTTAAAGTTGACGCTTCCATCAAGGGAGTCAATCCACTTTGATTTCTTGTATTCCACGCCATCTTGTTTTGAAGGAGACACGCTTTGGCGCCATCGACATCATTCTTATAAACACATTCATTCAGGTCCTTTCTACTGGAAATATCGTCGTGCCTTAGAACAGGACTAACAGGTGGCGTTGTGTGACGCATTCTAGAACGGTGATTAAACTTGAAATCTGTTCTGGAAAAGTATTTAGACATTTTAGTAAAGTATCTAAAATGAAATTGTATATCGCTCAAAACTAGTGGTACTTAGACGCATAAATATGTAACTATGTCACTTCCAATCGACGAAAAATCGTGTTGTGATTTATATCGCTATGTTACATCCAATGAATTTTATATTTATATACATTAAATCACCGATGCTTGTAATATCGTTCACTGTTTTGTAAAAACATCATTAAAAAACAAGATGTCTCAGCGTTCAACGATACTCGAAAGGATTTATCAATGATTTCATCAAAGACTTCGTCATTTCGTTCGTCAGTTTGTTTCCTATTTTAGCAATAACATTCACAAAACTCACTAATACCCAATTAAAGCGATAAAATTACTGATGTAAATGATGTCATTAAAATACTTTTATATATTAATGTCTTAATATAAAGGTGTTCCTTCACATCAAATTCGACTGTCACAAAATGTTACTGAAAAACATGATACATATCTAAAAACTCGGGTTTGTATCATTTAACTTTTAAGTGAAATGAATTAATAACTTTTTGTTGCCAAATTAATCGTTGTAAAATGTTTCGAATAGTAGACCTTCCTTTTAGAGAGTAGTCATTTAAAACATCATAATATGCACCAGGGCATTCAATTAGTGAATTAAGTATACTGATTGAAATCAAGAAAAAAAATGAATTTTTATGACGTAACATACTTAATGGTATCTGAATTATAGTAAAACATATAAAGCTCTACATGAGACGGTTAAAAGGGGAAAAAATTCTGTCAGTAAAGATGTATGTACAATTAATAATTTCAGACTGATAAAACTGACTTTGTATTTGAATAGAAATAGCCTGTATGATGTGTAGAGTTTAAATTGTGTTTAGTTTTTTTTGTTGTTTTTTTTCAAATAATAAATATGCTGAGTGAAGAAAAAATCAAATATTAAAATGTTTTGTATTTCTTACCTTTTAATTGTTTTAAACCGATTTGATATCAATAAGATATTAATTTATTTAAATTTAATTAATTTAATATCGAAGTAAATTTATATAAATAGTTTAATTAATTTAATAATTAATTTTAGTAAATTTAACTTACACTCTCGATAATCCTTATATGCAATACAAAAAATAGCACAGAGAAATAAAAGTGATATATATGTCACTTCTTGGTCACTCAGTCAGTAAACAAGTGACTGCAACCTGTTCTAAACTAACACTGTATCATATAGATAAAACAATATGGTTTTAATTAAGGGAATACGTCATAATTAGTTAGATGCATAACATTTAAATTACAGGTTAATATCATGCGACACTGATCAACCAAGCGTTTATTTGTCACTGATTTATGAAAAATAAAAAGATAGATATAACGTGATAATTTGAACATCGCTTTGGCCATTTTTCGGTCGAATTAAAGGCATATAATGCGTCAGAAAACCGTAAAGTTTTTAATGCCTTAGAAATTTTAAACATGAGTTTAATAATGTTTTAGTAATGGATTAAGAGCATGTGAGATGTTAAACAACTGTTGAAATTAGCGATGAACGAACAGTGATGTGTCATTAAGGAAGCCAAATGTAAACATAGTTGTATTTTGACTTCCATACAAAATACAATTCACATAATGATATCAATCGCTAACAGAGCAAAAGAAGGAAAAGACATTTAATCCTTATGGCAAATGAGTATTTATTTAAAAACTGTATCAATATAATTATAAAACAATTAAAAGTTTTTGAAAATTAAAATGACAGCATTTCTGAAACATAATGGGCTTATAAAGTTTAGTTATGAATAGCATTAACATTTTGAGAAAGTTGTAATTTGGAAGACTTAGTGTATATTTGAAAATATATAGTCATAAACTTTAAAGCGATACATACGAAATGGTTCACATTATACTGGAAGCATACAAATGTACCGGACTTAGTATCCTAACATATTGATCGACTAGTAAAAAGTTTGATTATTTTTTCATTAAAATCAACTATCGCAGGATAATGAATATAAGTAGATGTCAAAAGAAAAATGATTTCAATTTACATTAGTTTATAATTCACTTCAATGAGGTTCTTAACGGCATATTATGCCTCAGAAACAATAAATGTTGAATTCTTTAGAAAAGGCAAACAAATTTTTATAATTTTAGATAATGCATTTAGAGTATGTAAGATATTTTTACCTGAAGGAAATAGTGCTTGATGTGAAATGGTTAGTCTTAGAAGTAGCAAAATGTAGACAAAGTAGCATTCAAACTTCCATACGAAATACTAAATCACTATAACTGTATTTAATGCCAAAAAGTAACAGATGAAAAAGATGCTTCAGGTAATTGACCAATGAGTAGCTTTTGGGAAACTGTAAAAGTACATCAAAAATAAAAAGCTTTTGAGAATTGAAAATAAAGACACTTTTGGTGCATAATGTACGGTGGCACAAAGGTGACATATGTGTGTTTTAATTTATCTCGTGCGCACGAGATACTATGTCTTGGGCAAGAGTTACTAAGTCGTGGCCACAAGATAGCTAAGTCGTGGCCACGAGATACTATGTCAAGGTCACGAGTTACTAAGTATCTTGACTCCCATACAAAATACTAATTCACTATAAATATACTTATTGCCAAGAAGCAACAGATTAAGTAGATGGTTAAAATATTTGGCCAATAAATGTCTTTTTGGATACTATAAAAGTACACCAAGATAAAAAAAAAGAAGCTTTTAAGACATGAAAATAAAAGGATTTCTGGGGAAAATGGGCCTTTAAACAAGTCCGGACTAAGAAAATGTATTCCTATTGGAAACTTTAATAATAAGTTCTGTGCTCATTTAGCTAACATTCTATTCTATAATATGCTTTGATTTGACCAAATTGTCATCTGGCATCTATACTTAAAATCAGTTTTATATTATAAATCAATTCAACGTTATACGTCATTCGCGACACTATTACGTTTTTTACCTAATAACTCATTAGATGATGAGGAAAACAAAGTGAACACGTTCAAATGTATTGTTTAACAGGAAAATGTTTATTATTTATTATTTATAGTAAGAAAGTGAATGAAAAATTGAAAAGTGATGATATTAGATCTCCAAAATGCAACGCAGCTCTATGATGTTGAAGTTGGGATATTTTAATGAAAAACAATTTTATAATCTATAAAACAATGTAGATCTAAACCCGAACGTATTTTTTCGGAACCAAGTTTATGGCCCGTTTAGTTCAAGAAAAAAATTCAATCAGGAAACGAATACAAACATGAGCTCTACCTATAGCGTTTACATTGATATATCGATAATGAAAAAAAAATATATTTGTGATGTTTGATTCAGGTATTTTAGAAGATATAAGACATTTTATAGAGTTAAGAGGTTCATTCATTTATAACATTACACGAGAAAAGGGGCAACAGGGGTGGAAAAAATAAACTGTTTTTGGTAGCATTTCTCTCTGCATTTTTTTTTGAGATATTAAACAATTCGATTAGATTCACCGAAAGTATTATTATCACCCCTGTGCCAAAGATGTTACATTACCAACATACCAAAAATTGGAAAATATTTTATTGGCTAGCAAAATGGATTCAGCAAGTCTGGCCACCTACTAGAAAATACCACGTCCTTTTCATCGTGTCATCTCCATTAATACATCTATAAAATGCAGTTAATGCAAAATTGTGCTTATTATGTTAATTTTACGAACACTATAATCTTATTCATTTTCAGTCGGTCTTCAGGCATATGCACATTGTCAAATTAACATATTCTAATAAATCTTCTTCAGATTTTTAAATGTTTAAATCATAACAAACAAACACTTAGGAATAAATTAACATCACACTACTATGAGTCACGTAAACATTTTTATTACCTACAATTTAACTGTACCTTATATTGTAAATTTTAATATATATGAGTGACTAGTTTAGGCTAGTATTTTTTAAAAAGTATACTACATGAGCCACGCCATGACTAAACCAACATTGTGCGTTTGCGACCAGTATGAATCCAGACCAGTCTGCGCAATTTCGCAGTCTGATATCAAGATCCATGCTTACAAACCGTATGACAAGTAGCGGACAGCATTGATCCTGATCAGACTGCGCGGATGCGCAGGCTGGTCTGGCTCCATGCTGGTCATAAACGCACTATGCTGTTTTTTCATGGCGCGGCTCATACATGTATATTGTTACTCAAATTGCTTGAAATACAAGTACATGGCTCGGAACAACAAATTAGTGTATCTGTTTAAATATATACTATTCTCATCATTGTGTAACATATCCTAATTGCAGAAATTTATTGAAATCTATAAAATTATTACTGAATATGTCTTTTTATTTATGTCTTTTTTAAATAAAAAATAAAAGCATACAAATTGTGTATGTGAATCTGCTTTCCTTATTACGGTTCAAGTAAAGCTGGTCCTTTCTTGAAAAAAACTGCCAGTTTTTTAATGACACTATATTCTAGTATATTCATATAGTTTATCCACTTACATTGTGTAGCATTTAAAGCATAACATATATCTACTTTATAAAAACATATTTAGTTTATATTTACAAAAAGACTGTGTAACAACTATCAATATTTTCAAATATCAATTTTGAACATTATATATCTTTATATTTATTTGACTCATTTAGTTTTTCCTTATGTTAACTGGGTTCATTTCGGCAGTTAGAAATCAGTGTCAACTGTCATGAATCAAGTTCAGTTGACTGATGTAAACACTTTTTTATTACAAAAAACAATTTTATTACAATAAAGAAAAACAACTTTTAAAGAGAATTGTGCAATAAACAAGCTTATAAAGAAAAACAAAATAATGCAATACTTATTTTTATGAGAATGAAAATAATCATTTATTCAAAATCAATAATTATTCATCTTAATTAAACACGACTTCCATCGCTTTTTTCTTCTTTCATTGCAATGTATTTTGACTATTTAAAAAAATATATAATTTATAAATATTTTTTGTAAGTGATCGTTTTCCTCATTGTAAGCATTCTCTTATTTTTCAATGAACATTTATTTATGGATCATGGTATTTGAACATTCGTGTTAT